CTTTGTGGCTTTGTTAACCTTGTATCTCCAACATGGATCATGACTGCAGGTACCTGAACTGACATCAGCAGCTGGATACTTCTTCAGAGCTGGAGCTGAAGGGAAAACAACATGCCCCACTGTAAGTCTAGAGTCCAGACTCAGGGTGGTACTGAATATCCTGTCATTACATGAAGAAACGTGTTGCTGTTTTCTTGGGCACAAGTATATATGATGTATGTACCTGTCCTTATCGCATCAACATAAGTTATTGATAATTTGTGTGTCAGGTTCTACTATTGATGGCCTCAGCTATACGAACAGACACTCCTGTCTCGACTATTGGTTCGATGAACGAACTTCGTGCAAAACCTATGTGCATTGCTGAGATAACTGAAATGATTCATGTACACATCATAATCCTTTCTTATTTCCTTGAGCTCTCTATAAGATAACAGGATTATTTATTTCAGTGACTTGTCTTCTTCTTTCCCATTTTAGGTAGCAAGTCTTATCCATGATGATGTTCTGGATCTTGCTGATACCAGACGTGGTATGGACTCCCTGAACTCTGCAGTGGGAAACAAGGTAACCGAACATTTCATGTATACTAGTAATGTGCCCGTGCGTTGCTACAGAGCTACAGGATAGAAGAAAATAATGTTCTATCATTCACTGTATCGTCACTCTGCTCCATAGGTTGGGCAATTTGTCTCCAGATGTTCCGATTCGCATTCCTTTCAATTTTTACAGAGAGAGCATGATATGGCAATAAATCTGTTTTTGGCTTACTATGGGTGAGTAAGCAGGTGGGGATTCAATTTCATAAGACTGTTGTTCAATAGCTTCGATTGTACTCCTTCATTTTAGCTATCTAGACTTTCTCAAATAGAAAAATATTATAGCAATCTCTTGTAGTCTTACATATGCAAGCAAGCCTTTTTATACAGTACATGTTCATAAACACAGACTTTGTGCTTCAAAAACAAACAATTTGACCGATACTGAGCCAGCCTAGCTATCAGTTTTGTGGCTGCAACTCAAATTATGTTTAATTCTCATATCTACAGTGCCTTCCAAACAATTAGGAAAACTGATGCTATCTTGCAGCTTGCGATATTGGCTGGTGATTTCCTACTTTTCAGGGCATTTTCTGCTGCCGGGTCTCTTGACAATGCTGAGGTGTGATGTTTATCCATTTTTTTTCATAGCCCAATAATTCCTTGCTTAATTCAGTTGATGATGTTAGATAGGATAAAGTGACCTGTGAATGCTAATGCAATCAAAGACATCCATAAAGGAGAAAAAAGTTTTCTTTGAGCATGTCACCTCTCATGACACCCTGAGAATTTCTCCACTTCTTGCAACAACAGATTTTATGAGTTGTTTTCCACAATGGGTATTTCGAAGTTTTTTTTTCGAAAAGGTTATTTCAAATATTGATAGCATTAATATACCCATGATCTTTCTTCCCCTCTATTTTTTATTCTTCGCTGCAGGTTGTATCGTTACTAGCAACAGCTCTAAACAACCTTGTGACGGGTGAGCTGATGCAGATGAACGTAACTCCAGCACAACGCTGCAGGTAGATATCCAATTCAATTTTATTGATTTTCTAGCATAAATAATAAATATCCTGTAAGTACTGTTTTACTAGTAATGAAGCACACAAAGAGCAAGAAAGAATGTTAATATGATTGATGTTGCTAACTCCTTTATAGTATTAATTACCTATATGCATCAGACAACAGCAAATCCAAAAGAGTCTGGAAGTACTTCTCATAGTTGTAACATTCATATTTTAAATAGGTCATTGGTTCTAAAGTGTCAACATTAAAAGCTTGAGGTGGCCCTGTTCCAGATCCAAGGAAACCAAGCAAAGTAGTGTAATATGGGTTCATCCAACACGCATATCTGGTATTTTAGTTAATTTGACACCTGAGATCTTGTTCACGATGCACGCACAGCATGGATTACTATTTGCAGAAGACATACTACAAGACAGCTGCACTGATTTCAAATAGCTGCAAAGCTGTTGCGGTTCTTGCTGGCCAAACAGCAGATGTTGCTGCCCTTGCTTATCAGTATGGCAGGCACTTGGTTAGTTGAATTTTTCGTGCCCACAATCTCTTCTTTTGCTTGCTAACCACGCATGAACTACTAAGGCAACCTTTGCTCTACTGTCCCCTGCCACTCTGTCAGGGTATAGCATATCAGCTGATCGACGACATCCTTGATTTCACGGGCACATCCGCGTCACTAGGCAAAGGCTCCTTGTCTGATATCCATCAGGTAATAGCATTACTCTTGGCCACTTCCACACTGAAAATTGTTTAACTTTCTGTTACTGAGTGACTATTCCACCTGAGCTACCATGTTATGACTAGAGTAGCACAGGTCTTGAGTCGTTTTGTTGGTGTTCCTCAAAGCATTATGGTTTAGTTAGCACAACAAAACCACCATCGTGTCGAGTTTCAAATTTCAAATGTCTCCGTTGTTGCTTTTCCAGATATGAATATGCAAGAAATGATATACATTCCTTTACATGTACAGGGAATCGTGACCGCTCCTGTGTTGTTCGCAATGGAAGAGTTCCCTGAGCTACGTGAGAGTGTAGAGCGTGGATTCCATGACCCTTCAGACGTTGCTACTGTCAGTGCTGAAACTCCTTTTTTCTTTCAAGTAATATAATGAAGATATTTGGCTGTGAAATGATCAATGCCAGAGTGCTCACTTTTACATTTCAGGCCCTTGAATACCTTGCGAAAAGCGAGGGAATCGAGAGGACAAGGTTGCTTGCTACTGAACATGCAAAACTGGCAGCGCGTGCAATCGATGCTCTTCCTGAGGTTGGGGATAGAGTTGCGCTGATCTCGAGGCAAGCACTCAAAGACCTTGCTCAGAAGCTCATCAGGAGAACAAAGTGAAACGAGAATATGCGATACATTGTTTGAGGAAGAAAGCTATTCCATCTGCGGCACATTGAGTTGAGGGCTTCTGAAGTTTTTTTTGAAACTGTTAACAAAAAAATAGTAGCTGTGGGTACTGTTATGACATGAACACATCCAATTTTCACCCAAAAGCATCACAAGTTATGCCTTTTTTATTTGACAAACAGTCAAACTGTAGCATGTCCACCCCCCACAAAATGTGCAATACTTCTATTTAACATTAGAGTGCAAAACTGTTAGAAAAGAACTCATAGATCTACATCGGAATATTGCTCGAAGCAGTGACCGGAAGCAGCACTGCAAGTAGCCATAGCCAGATAGAGAGTGAACTTGTGTAGGACGGGCTACTTGTAGTCCGTTTATTTAAAAAAAATGTCAAATGATATTTCCAAGTTTTTTAAAAATAAAAAATCATGTGAAAAGTTACACTGCATATTCACGACGGATTTGTAATTTTTTGTTAAAAAACTATTATGATTTGCAAGCGATGAAAAAAATATCCTGGCCCACAACAAAAAAAGTTGGCCCATTTTCCTGTATGTATTTGTCTTTTTTGTCTACGTTACGTATGGACTTATATTGTAATGAAAAAAATTCGAATGTGTTATATATGTATTTGTGTATGTACAAAAAACAGTTCAATTTCTTCTGTACTGTTGAAAATTGTATTTTAAATACGGGCTATATTGGCAATTTTTGTGGCCAGATACCCTAAGGAAAAGGCTAAAAACCGAGGACGGTGTTTGGTGCCGGGGAGCATCTGATTTTGCTGATGAGCAGTAAAATCAAAAGAAATAGAAAAACATTTTTAAAAAATTGGCACAAGAGTTGCACAAGTTTTCTAGGTGTATGCAAAAAATTGTGGGGACATGACATCATAGGAGATCTGGACAAAAAAACAGAGTATTGAGAGAGGTTCAATTTTTTTTGATTTGGAGCACTAATTTTGTTTTTCCTGTCCCGAGCTCCTCCCATGTCACATTGCCATGAAACTTTGCACGCCCACAGAAAACTTGTTCATCTCCGAAGTATAAAATTTTCAGATTTTTTTGCTATTTTTTTTTATCTTTTAGATATGCTCGTGTCTAGCTATGGATTTCACTACAAAACCCTAGTGGACAAGATTTCCCTATTGTATACTCTAGGGGAAATGCCCTAGGGTGATGGGAATATCTTTGTTTCCCTTGGATTTCAGGAGAATACCCTTAAGCAACGAACAATTTCCCATGGGTTTGGAGATTCTAGAAGTCATGGTATGGTCCTCAACGTGCATCCGATGGTTTCTCCAGTAGTGTGGAAGAGCCCTCGACTCTCTCATCGCTAGAACTAGCGTTACGTCGTCAGCCGATAGAGAGGTTGATTACAGTGATGGATCCGGGTGAATCGAACAGTTTGCGTGCAAGGCAATTAGATGGCTCTTGAGCCCGCTTGCACCGGTCGACTGGCGCCTAGTGTCGGCCTATTGTGTCTGCATGTACCCTTTGATGCTTCATTATGTATCCATAAAATCTACGGCTTATTGTGTCTACATGTACCCTTTGATGCTTCATTCTGCATCCATAAAATCTACTTCCTCCGTAAAAAATATAAGAGCGTTTAGATCACTTGCGTACTCTTTATATCAGTACAATGTTCATACCACTAATACTAAATTGGTGTAGAGGGGTGAGACAGCGAGGCGAAACTCGAAAAGGAACGAAGAGGGCTTGGCGCGACTGAGCTGGGCGAGCACAACGGCGCCGTAGGCCAGTCCTAGCGTGTCAGTCCACGCACCACTCGCTTACCCATCGTCTCGATCGGCCCGGAAAAGCCCAACGGACAGGGACGCCTTGACACGACCATACCCGTCGCCGTCGGCCCGGAAGACGCCGGAAGCCAGGCCCAGCGAAAAGCGCTGGCCGCGCGCGTGGACGCCACGCCGCCTGTCGTCTCTCTCCCCCAACCAACACCGAGCTCACACTCGCTCAGCCCTCGCCAGCTCGTCCGTCCGTTCGTTTCCTTATCTCCTCTCCTGCTCCTCCCTCCACCCCCACCACCAGTCCAGGACGCACGCACGCAGCTCGAACGCCCATGGCCGCGCCCATGGCCTCGCCGCTCACGGCCGTCGCCCGCGCCGCCCGCCTCCACCCCGTCTCCTGCTCCGCCTCCTCCTCCTCTCCCAAGAACCCCAAACAGTCGTCGTCGTCGTCGTCGTCTTCGCCGCCTGCTGTGCCGTCGCTGAGGTCCGCGGCGGTGGCGTTGGCGGGGGCGGTGCCGCTGCTGGCGGCGCTGCCGCCGCCGGACGCGCTGGCCGTGGGCGGCGAACTGGGGATCATCGAGGGCCGGACCGTCGCGCTGCTGCACCCGGCCATCATGGGCGGCCTCTTCGCCTACACGCTCTGGGCGGGCTACCTCGGCTGGCAGTGGCGCCGCGTCCGCACCGTCCAGGACGAGATCACCGAGCTCAAGAAGCAGGTCCGCCCCGCCGCCGCCGCCGCCACCCCCGCCGCGGTCGGCGCCGGGGACTCCGCCTCCCCGCCCCCGCCCCCCGCTGCCAAGTCCCCCACCGAGATCAAGATCGAGGAGCTCAGCGAGGTAAGTGACTAGCATAACACTCGCCTTCGAGCTCGTTCGACTTACAATGGCACCGTGATTGATTGCTCTGTTCCATCGCCATGTGCGACGCAGGAGAGGAAGAAGCTGGTGAAGGGAGGCTTCCGGGACCGGCACTTCAACGCGGGGTCGATCCTGCTGGGCCTGGGCGTGACGGAGTCCGTCGGCGGCGCGCTCAACACCTGGCTCCGCACCGGCAAGCTCTTCCCGGGCCCGCACCTGTTCGCGGGGGCGGCCATCACCGTGCTCTGGGCGGCGGCCGCGGCGCTGGTGCCGGCGATGCAGAAGGGGAACGAGACGGCCAGGAGCCTGCACATCGCGCTCAACACCATCAATGTGCTGCTCTTCATCTGGCAGATCCCCACGGGGCTCGAGATCGTCGGCAAGGTCTTCGAGTTCACCAACTGGCCATGAGCTCCACCTAAGCAGGCCATGATCGCCGTCAAGGTCTTCGAGCTCGGGGTTGTTTGATTCGTCTCTCTCTGTTCATAAGATCGTAGCTGACTTCGGAGTGTGAAGTTTTGTTGCTGTCACGAGTAAATAAAAAACGAATTTGCAGTGCTTTTTGTGTTCCTTTGCCGAATAACTGAAAAAGGCTTCTCGCCCCGCTTTATATATATATAAAGCAACGACCAAACATCACAAGCCAACGCAAACCAGCACCAAACACGACGCCGTAACAAACACGATGCAAGTTACAAGGATGCCAAAGATCAACCACAACATCCCATGCAACTCCGAGTAGACCACAAATAGACGCTAAGCAACGCTACAGAGTCGATGGAGCCCTCAACCGTGAAAGACACCGCGAAGAGGTGAAGCTGAACGTCGACAAGCCGTGAGCTACAAGGCGGTGCCTTCAAGAGATCACGACACCGGAGCGCCGCTACTACCCGATCCCAAAGGATCAAGATTTTCATCTAGAGCACGACGCATGATCCAAACCAACCACAACAGAGACTTCAAGAAGTAGATGACGTCCATGGACGTCGCCTCCATCAGCATAGCCAGCGCCAGACAAGGTTTTCACCCTGGCACGCTCCACATTCGGTCAGTGAGCGGCAAATAATGAAATCTCCGCCATACCACCATCACGGAGCGCCAACTACGAACCATCATGCCACCCCCATGGCCATGGTAACTAGCATGCACCCGAGCCCCGGTGTCAGCCCACGAGCACCGCGGCTTCTATCACCAGGGCCGTCATCCAGAAGACCGGGCATACTCGAGCCCATCCAAGGCCACGGGCAAAGCATTGATCAACATACCCCGACCGATATGGCCATGGCGATCAGGACCAGGAGCAACTAGGCCGAGGGAAAGGTGAAAGTGCACGAGTAGAACTCGTCCACAACATGCACCCCTATGCCGGTGACGAGCGGCCCAACCTCATCAGAGCCATCCATCCCCCCCGCCACCGCTCCATACGCCACCCCCTATGACGCCCTACCATGGCTCCCTGTCCGGATCCACACATGTCCAGCCCAGCAACCCGCCCAATGACGCAAGGTGCTAGACCAGCCACACCCAGCCGCCGTTGATGAACGCCAAGACGCCCACCCGAGCCGGTGGCAGACCATGTTGTGATTCTCTTGAATTCATGAAGTTGGCGATCTCGCTGACACTGACATCGCTCATTTTTTATCTCCTCCTACATAATTTTGTTTATCCCTTTTCTCTTCTTCTATCGTTTCATATCCTTGTGTCGTGTATGAATTATCTTTTCCTCTCCTTAGATTACCATTCAATGTTTCTTCTTTCGCTTATTTTACCTTACTGTTTGGGTCACCGGAGGCGACCATCGTAAGCAAAAGCAACAAGAAAAGAATAGGGTGTGTGGGTTTGACCACTATAGTATCATGAGACGTGAAAAAACTATATTTTTTTGAAAGGGGAGACTCCCCGGTCTCTGCATCAGAACGATGCATACGACCATCTTTATAGATAAACAAAAAGGTTCAATAAGGTCTTACAGTCTGAAAAGCCACAACGCCAAAAGCAAAAAAGCCAAGAGGCCACAACCGGCTAGCATAAGCAAGATAGGTAAACTAATCGCCTATCCTATTACATGACCGCCATCCAAATCGGTTGAAGATATCCCATGCTACCATCTCCCACCGGATAGATCCAGTAACCAAACGCTCACTGGCCTCCGTCGGAGTGAGTAACGACCACATACGGATCAGCGCAGTGGCTCGGAATAAAACCTGCAAAAAATAAATATTTGTTATTAAGCCAAATCATTTCTGTAGAGCCAAATTGCCCACAACAAAGCACATACTCCTACGCGAATGTGTTTAGCTATTTCGGACTTTATCCCAACAAGCCACGTTCCAAATAACGTACTGACAGAATTCAGAGGAGTAATGTTAAAGGCAATGTGCGTTGTATGCCACAAAACTTTGGCCAACGGGCAATCAAAGAAGAGGTGTTTGATAGTTTCATCCCGATCACAAAAACTACACCTAGTAGATCCTGTCCAGTTGCGCTTTACCAAGTTATTCTTTGTTAATATGACTTGTTTATGTGCAAACCACATAAACACTTTAATTTTTAAAGGAACTTTGACTTTCCAAATATATTTGGAAGTAGGAATGGCACTAGAGTTGATGACATCGATATACATCGATTTAACTGTGAACTCTCGAGACCTAGTAAGCCTCCAGCATAACTGATCGGACTGATGAGAGAGCTGAACCCCCATCAGTCTGCTCACCAAATGAAGCCACGCTTCCCACCGGTTGCCAACAAGCGTCCTCCTAAACTGAATATTAAGGGGAATGGACTGCAAAATCGTTGCAACAAAAGCATCACGTCGTTGAACAATACTATACAGGGACGGATACTGAAGCGCCAGCGGCGTTTCTCCAAGCCAGGTATCCTCCCAGAAGCGCGTGGTGGTGCCATTACCGACTATAAACTTTGTCCTATTAAAGAATTCTGCTTTAACTCTCATAAGCCCCTTCCAAAAAGGCGAGTCAGTCGGTCTCACTGTCACCTGGGACAAAGTCTTGGACTGCAGATACTTACTACGGAGAATATGCGCCCACGTGGCCCCAGTCTCAACTGGTAACTTATACAACCACTTACTGAGAAGACATCTGTTCTTGACTTCAAGATTCTCAATACCAAGGCCCCCCTGGTCCTCTGGTCGATAGATGATATCCCATTTGGCGAGTTTGTATTTTCTCTTTAGTACATCACTCTGCCAGAAGAATCGGGATCGATAGAAGTCCAGCCTTTTCCTAACACCAACTGGAACTTCGAAGAAAGATAAGAGAAACATAGGCACACTCATGAGCACCGAATTAATAAGAATCTATCGGCCTCCGTATGACATGAGTTTGCCTTTCCAGCAACTCAGTTTCTTCTCAAACCGATCCTCGATACACTTCCATTATTTGTTTGTCAGCTTACGATGGTGGACCTAAGTACGTGAAAGGTAATGACCCCAATTCGCATCCAAACAATTGCCTATAAGCCTCTTGTTCCTCATTGGCTCTACCAAAACAGAACAACTCGCTTTTATAAAAGTTAATCTTCAATCCGGTTAATTGTTCAAATAAGCATAACACCAGCTTCATATTTCTCGCTTTTGCCAAGTCGTGCTCCATAAAGATGATCGTATCATCAGCATACTGCAGGATGGACACATCTCCATCAACTAGATGAGGCACCAAGCCACCCACCTGACCGGCCTCCTTTTCCCTACCTATCAGAATTGCCAACATATCAACCACAATGTTGAACAGAATATGAGACATTGGATCACCTTATCTCAGGCCCTTGTGTGTCTGGAAATAATGACCTATGTCATCATTTACTTTAATTCCAACACTCCCTTTTTGCGTGAAAGATTCTACCAGGCGTCGCCAGGCTTCATTAAACCCCTTCATGCGTAAGGCCTGTTGAAGGAAAGGCCATTTGACTTTATCGTACGCTTTTTCGAAATCCACCTTGAAAACAACTCCATCTAGTTTTTTCGTGTGAATCTCATGGAGCGTTTCATGAAGGACCACAACCCCTTCTAGGATGTTCCTGTCCGGCATGAAAGCAGTTTGGGTATGCTGCACCACAGAATGCGCAATTTGTGTGAGCCTATTAGTCCCGACCTTGGTAAATTTTTTGAAACTAGCATTAAGAAGACAGATGGGCCTGAATTGCTCAATTCTCACATCCTCTATTTTCTTAGGAAGCAGGGTTATCGTTCCAAAATTCAATTGAAAAAGCTGAAGCTATCCAGAGAATAGATCATGGAACAACTGCAACAAACCCCCCTTAATAATATGCCAGCACTTCTTATAGAACTCAGCCAGAAATCCATCCGGGCCGGGAGCCTTATTATTTTTCAACTGTGATATGGCCTTGATGTCTACTACACAACCTTCTTCTTGTAGACGTTGTTGGGCCTGCAAGTGCACAGGTTTGTAGGACAGTAGCAAATTTCCCTTAAGTGTATGACCTAAGGTTTATCAATCCGTAGGAGGCGTAGGATGAAGATGGTCTCTCTCAAACAACCCTGCAACCAAATAACAAAGAGTCTCTTGTGTCCCCAACACACCCAATACAATGGTAAATTGTATAGGTGCACTAGTTCGGCGAAGAGATGGTGATACAAGTGCAATATGGATAGTAGATATGGGTATTTGTAATCTGAAAATATAAAAACAGCAAGGTAACTAATGATAAAAGTGAGCGTAAACGGTATTGCAATGATAGGAAACAAGGCCTAGGGTTCATACTTTCACTAGTGCAAGTTCTCTCAACAATAATAACATAGATAGATCATATAACAAGCCCTCAACATGCAACAAAGAGTCACTCCAAAGCCACTAATAGCGGAGAACAAACGTAGAGATTATGGTAGGGTACGAAACCACCTCAAAGTTATTCTTTCGGATTGATCTATTAAAGAGTTCGTACTAGAATAACACCTTAAGACACAAATCAACCAAAACCCTAATGTCACCTAGATACTCCATTGTCACCTCAAGTATCCGTGGGCATGATTATACGATATGCATCACACAATCTCAGATTCATCCAACCAACACAAAGTACTTCAAAGAGTGCCCCAAAGTTTCTACCGGAGAGTCAAGAACGTGTGACAACCCCTATGCATAGGTTCATGGGCGAAACCCGCAAGTTGGTCACCAAAACATACATCAAGAGGCACGTGATATCCCATTGTCACCACTGATAAGCACGGCAAGACATACATCAAGTGTTCTCATAAAAGACTCAATCCGATAAGATAACTTCAAAGGGGAAACTCAATTCATCACAAGAGAGTAGAGGGGGAGAAACATCATAAGATCCAACTAGAATAGCAAAGCTCGGGATACATCAAGATCGTGCCATAGAGGGAACACGAGAGAGAACACGAGAGAGAGAGAGAGAGAGAGAGAGAGAGA